AAACAGAATAAAATTTTTTGATTTGCGGTCAGAGAAAATAAGTTCTAGGAGTTTAGCTTGTGATTAATTTTTTGATGATTATCCTTCATAAAATTATAAAAGTGTTAAATTTGCTCGTAAATAATGGAATAATATTGTAAAAGAACAGCAAAAGAGTATGTAAAATAATTTATTAAATGTGAACAAAACAGTTTATGTTATGAATCAAGAAATGCAATAGATATAAAACTCTATAAAGAAATCTTATGAGAAATATTATTAGAAGTATATTACTAATTATAATTAATATGAATTAAATGTTGAAAAAATGAAATAAGAAATGAATATACCATGGGAATTGTTAAAAGAAGATAAATTGCTAAAATAGTTGAAGATATGAATAAGAGTACAAATTCTGATGATCCCCTTCTAGTTTAGTATACTGAATAAAATGATTTAGTAAATCAATTAATGATAGATAATTTTCTGTCTTTGTAAGAATGTACATTTAATTAAATTAAGAAATTTAATCCACTCATATAGAATTAAATATTTGAATAAATGACAAAATAATAACAATAAAATCAATCAAATCATAATTTAATTGAGGAAATTAAAGATGAATAAAATATAAGAAAAATTACTAAAAAAAATTTTACATATCATCTCATAAAAGAAAGTTCAATCAAAGAATAGTAATAATGTAATGCAATGGCTTTTAATAAGGAATGTTCAATAGTATTGGTTGGATGTAATTAATAAATACAAGTATTTGAATTTAAATAGGGAATGATGAAATAAACTTAAATCCTTAAAGAACATGAAAATAATGTCATCACTTTAAATTTTATGAAAAAGTCTAATTAATTTATCTCTGGAAGTGAAAAAGATGGATGGATTATAATTTGGTCACTGAATTCAATTAATAATTAATGGATTTTATAATAAAAACTAAAAAAACATTCAGTAGGAATAATATGTTTAGTATTGAATGAAAATGAAGATCTATTTGTATCAGGTGGCTTTGATAACAAAATAATATTTTGGGGCAAAAAGAATTAATGGATATTGGAATAAACATTAGACCTAAAATAAAGATTATATGCACTAAGCATAAATGAAGAATAAAGTAGATTGATTATATGTTCTTTCGAGACTGAAATATTTATATTGGAATTTTAATAATAAAAATGGATTATTTAATAGAAGATACTAGTCTAATAACAAGCGATTAGAATTAGCTTCATTTCTAATAATTTATTCACAGTCTAATCATTCTAAAATGATTTATTGGATATATATGAAATGGAAAATTAATTGGGATATATTAAAACTAGAGGAATTATAGTTATGCGTGGTTGTGGTTAAGAAGAAGAATGTCTATTTTTTCCTTCATAATATATTAAGTTAAAAAGTTTGCTTGTAATTAAGAATTGCTAATATATAAATTTAATCAAAATTAAAGAAAATAGAGAGTTTCTAGTTGAGAATTCTATTTAGTATCAAACTAGTAAGCTATACGGATCTATAAGTGATGATGGGGAATATCTTATAACCTGGGATCAAGTATCAAAAGAAATACAAATTAGAAAATTGTAAGAATCATGAAGATGTGAGTTGTTAGATCATAAAAATATGTTAGATCATAAAAATATTTACAAATCATATAAAAAACTATTTTTCATTAATTTATGAATCAATTTAAAATTTTTATTAAAATGGGAATAAATGTTTGAATTATTAAATCATATAAAAAAAACATCCATAAATAAAGATGTAAAGACAAATGCTATTACAGTAAAAAAAATCAAATAAAGAAATAAATTTGTAATTCAATATTTTTTTCGCATCTTACTCATCAAAATCAAAGTTTTAACTTACAACAAATTTCATTTTGATAACTTTCTACTTTTTATTAATGATTTATTTTCTCTTATGTTATTCATGTTTGATTAAATTATTACCCAATCCCATCATAATAACACTATAAAATAAAATTAATGATTCTCAGAATATTCATTGTTAGACTTAATTAAAAACGTTAATTAAAGCTTTTGTTTATAAATAACAAGAAACCCCTAAAAATCAAAAAAATTTTTGAGATAATTTTTAATTATAATAAGCCAAAAACTCAAAAATGAATAATAATAGTAGGTTTAAATGATTCTGAAACATAAAATAAGTATTTTTTAAATGAGTATTCATTCCGAAATGTAAAATTTATTTGATATATATTACCGTTATGTATTAATAACTACTTGTTTGATACACAAAATTTTAAAAGTATATCCATTTGACAACTAGGGTCTCTATAAATTTTAATTTTGATTATAAAACCTTATAATAAAACTCTAAGTTTTACGTTTCTAATAAGCTTAAAGATCTTGATAATATTCAATTAGAAATTCCAAAGTCAGTAAATTTGTCATTTGGTGCAATGCCATTTATAACTAAAATTTGAATGTTTGTTATCTAAAATAGGACTATTGTTTTGAGGAGTATATTAGATAGAATTAGAAAAGAATTGAATATAAATAATGATAGACTTTTCTGAAGACCTCACTTGTATCGATTGGTCGCTTCTTAAGGTTCATTTATCCCAAATAAATTATACTACAAGATTTAAACTCAATCTAAGAGGGCATGAAATTAATGTTAGGTGTTTAATATTAATGATATTTTCGAATGATAAAATGATAAATATTTTTATGTTTGTTATGTTAGCGATATCAATTTTAGTACGATTCAGTTAATAAAATACTCTTGTTTTATAAGAAGTATACTCCTTATTAAGTTATAAATTCACACTTCGAGTTTGAAGCTCCTAATGCTTACAATATTGTCTTTTCAGAGGAGAGGTTGTAATAATATTAGTAATATTAATATTAAATACTTCATTTTGGAAATGGATTGTTTTAAAGTCACTTTTCTGACCATAATGAGTTACTTGCAAAACTAGATACTAATGAATGACTTTTAAGGCAAAATAATAAAAAATTTAAATTAAATGAACATAATAATCATGTTTAGTCAGTATGCTACTCTTGTTTCAACATTTCATAAATGAACTAAATCATTATAATTACTTGATGCTAATGTAGTACAATTAGGAGAGAGAAGCACATAACATCGCAGTTCCACTATGTTCTACTAATTTAAATTTTTTATTATCTAATCCCATAGTTATCCATCCTAACCGAAGCTAAAGTATTTCTGTCCGAACACGAATTGTATGACCATTCAATTTGTTGAATTACTTTCACTTTATTTTTTCCATTCTCAATTAAGAATTACAAAAATTATATGATCTTCTTAGTTTCTCAGTTTTTTTACTGAGATTCTCTATAATTTCTTTATAAACTTCAATGGAATAGTCATTTTAATTAAAGTCTTATTTATAAATTTTTTTAATCCCATTATTATTTTCTTCTCTTGTTTCTTCTAAAATATTAAAAAAAATTCTTAACAATCTTATATCTCTTCTACTTTTATAAAGATCTACTTTTGCTTCATAAATAGGCCTATAAGATTATTAATATTTTTACCTGGTTCATTGCAGATAATTAGGAGTAAATTGTAGAGCAATTTCTGTAGTAATTTGAAGAGTTTCCAGCAAGTAAAACTTGGTCTTTGGCTTATTAATGTGTCCTTTATCTAATTTTTAATTGAATCAATAGCATTAATGATTCGATCATAGGATTTCTAAAAGTTTACTATAAAGGCACAATATTTAATAATATTAATTGTTCCAAGTTCAAAATTTATTGCTTAAACACTGTTTTTTTTGGTTCAAAGAACTTTTTGAACAAATATAGAGAATCCTTTTACAAATTATGTAAATTAAGATATTTTAATTAAAAGTTGAATAAATTTTCTTTTTGATTAGAATGACATAATTCATCAAAAAACTATACTTATAGAATGATAAGAAAAATTTTGATTTGTTAAATTAAATAACTTATAAATTTCTGTTTTATCGCATAAAATAGACTGTTGAAATTTTTTATGAGTTATTGATTATCATGTTTTCATTATTATTAGTATATTGAATCTTTATTCGTTTGAATTAATCTTAATTCAATTAATAATTTCCTTCTTTTTTCTTTAATAATTAACTTTTTACGAGTATACAATCCTTTATTAGAGAGTAAATCTATAACTAGAATATGAATATTTTCAATAAAATAAATGAGACTCATTCAGAAACTTTAGTTTTATTAGAGTTCATTATTATATCATTCTTTACTTTTGAAAGTTAATAACTTTTAATATTAATCAAGTTATAATCTATAGATATTGATAGGGTTTTACTTTAGTATTGGAGGATAACTCTCCATCTGTTCAATTTATTTCACTAATATTGTAGATAGTAGAAAATTATAATTTACAATAATTATTGTGTCTAAATTATAGGAAGCTTAATAGTTAACAAGATTCGTAAGACCATCGAATAGAATCAATTAACGAGGTTTAGAATTCAAAATAAGTTATTATTCATAATTGTCAGTATAAAAATAGTAAAAAAGATATATATCAAGAATAAAGTAAAGAAAATAAAAATAAATTAAATTTGAAGTGAATTATAAATTATAGAAAGTGATGGAAAAAGGGTTTTAATTGACAAAATTTTGTTGTAATTATATGAAAAATAAAACTATTTGATCATTGTATTGCAGAGAATCATTCTGCTTTTTTTATCCATATTTATTACCTTAGAATTTGATTTTTTAGGTAACTCTTATATCAGTATGCTTCTCTCCTGATTGTGCTTTATTCTTAGCATTGTACCTACTAGGTCTGCATTTGGATAACATTTGTTTAAAATGGAAAAAATCTTAGTATTTGTAATCAAATGGGAAAAATTTAAATCACAATCATTAGTGATATAAGGAAATTTTGTGCATATCCCTATATTTAATAAATATTGATATATTTTCTATTTTTAAATAATTCATTTCAATACAAATACTTTAACTTGAATCATGAATAATTTAAAAAGATATTAATTTTATTATATCTATATGAATTGATATCTTGGTC